GAATCAATGCTTTGAATTTATAACGGATAATAAAATTTGAGGAAATGAAGTTATTCGCATCAAGACCGGATTTAAATTCAATTTCAATTTTATTTCTACCCATATTCTTGATACCACCTTTAACAATATTAACAATTTTATGTTTATGGATAAGTTGTCCAAATTTGATAGGTCGGATAGTTGTACCTACCGCAGGGTCGGGTTCTGTCCTACTGACATGTACAATGAATGGTCCACGATCATCGTGACTATAGGTACGATCTTGAGTGAGACAAGGATGTGAATAAATATTCTGTATAGAAACCGAAGAATCAATATCATTAATATTTCTAGTACGTTTGTCTAAATTTGTATCCTTCTCTACCGGTAATTTATGTTTTCGAGAATCAATTTTCATGTCAAGCAATGAAGAGGATTGAGAAAATATCGGAGGGGACACAACTTCAATATCTGGTGGGTCTGGTGGGTCCGGAGGGTCAGAATCCATTTTAAAATCTAACTGTCAAAAGTGTATTTAAATATTAAATAAATAAAATTTATCTTGTCTACTACTAACTAATAACACAAAGCTCTTACCAAGATAATATAAGTGAGAAAGAAGCTCAAGTTAGAAAGAAATTAGCATAATATTATAGAAATTTGATTGAAATAACAAAAAACAAGCACGTGTGTCAACCACTCGAAATCCTGTCTCCTCAAGCGAGCCGTTGCGTTGATCACTTTGACAGATTTTTTTTCGCATTTATGAAGAACTTCACTGATATTTTGTCTATTGCCATCAAACAGTCAGTGTTGCACTATCGAAAAAATACAAACGTTGCTGTTTTCAGTTATTAGTGAGGGCAAACTAACGCAATGAAAAAAATCTCGATATTTTTTCTATTCTCCCCTTAAATTCTATTCACCCCATTTTACGGTATTGCGTATCTAGACATATTAATATCATTGATATATTATATGTATACTGTGCTTCTTTTTTAAATGTGGTTGTTTTTTTGATAAATAATTAACCAATAAATTACGCTTTATAACGGTTTATTATTCCACTGCAAACTATAAAAATGGTATTCTGTTTGTGGTTTTTCACATTTACTTGATTGTAAAATAACTACGTTAATAAAATAAAATAAAATTGTTTCCCAAAAACTACTATTTATGACTACCTATGCGTATTTGTTAAAATAACTTCATATATTATTTACATTTTATTATTTATTTGCGAAATAGGATTACCAATACACATCAAAATTAAATTAAATTCTACACAACTACTTGAATTATAAAATAAAAGGTCAAGCTGATTTGGTACAAGTTTACTCAATTCGAACTTGTTTTGATTCTCATGGACTATAGCAGTGATTCCCTAAGTGGTCCAGGTGGACCCCAATGGGTCTACGGTCTACGTTGGAGTGAAATAAAAATAGGTTCACAAGTTGTAAGTGGGGTCCACGAAAATATATTATTAATTAATCTAATATTAAAATTATCTGGATTCGATAGTAAAGAACAAAAATGTTGGCTTGGCTTTACCTACATATCAATGTGCAGGTAGGCGATAATATTGTAAGAAGGTCAGCGTGTGTTACTTGTAAAAACTTGCTTTTTCAATATTCAGTACAACACATGACGATATTTGCAATGCGCCGCCGCCGCCCGCACGCACGTGATGCTTTTTCAGACGTGCATAACTACGAAATATCACTTCTGCTGTGCTTACAATCTTGTACGAATCTGTTTTATTATTCACCAATATAAATACGAATGCCAAAGACAAACGTAACGCATTTGTTTCCGGAATTTGAAGAGAAAAGTGTGAGTGAATCTATGTCAGTGTTTGCCGATCCCGGAAAAGTAAATATCTCCCTGCCTATTTGATTGTAATAATATTATAATTGTTATGTTTGCGTGTAATAGGTACGCACCTAATTAAAATTAAATATTGAACAGGTCCATTATTCGATCGATTTTGTACTTTTTATTATACAATTATTTATTTACCCGGCTGTAGTTAGAATCAATATTTAAACTACTTGGTGATTTTTTTCAGGAAAAATCAATTTCATTTACAAACATCATTTCGGCGGCAACAGATGGAGCTCCTGCCATGGTCGGACATTATCGTGGGTTTATAAGCCATCTTAAAAGAATAATACCAGGAGTAACCGCAATACACTATGTCATCCACCGATAGCAACTCGTAGCGAAAAATTGATAGATTGCATCAATCAATTCAACTTGCGATTAAAGCCGTTAATAAAATAAAAAGCAGTGCGTTGAATACTCGTTTATTTACCCAATAGTGCGACGAAAATGATGAAGACTTCCGACGATTGCTTTTAAATACTGAAGTACGCTGGTTGTCGAAAGGCGCGTGTTTAACGAGGTTTTACTTACTTTTTGAATCAGTTTTAGAGTTTCTGGAAAGTAAAGATTCAGATTTAAAAGAAAACGTCATCAAATGGAAAGCAGACATCGCGTATTTTGTCAGATTTGTTCAAAAAAATGACATTACTTTAACTTGCAGTAACAAGGGGATAGCCTAAATTTAATAAAAACAAAGAGTGTAATTTGGGCTTTTCTTGGAAAATTTAAATTTATGAAGCAAAATATTAGTCGGCGCGAATTCTCACAGTTTCCAAACTTGTCACACACGTTCAACATTTAAATGCGCTGCATGATGACTTCAAAAACAGATTTGAAGATATTTCGATGATGGAAATACCACCATGGATCATAAATCCATTTGATGAAACGGAAGTGACGGATGTGGTATTAGGAACAAGAGGAACTACTCGAGCTCAGCACCAATGCAGAGCTGAAGGTGCAATTTAAAAAAGGCTATCAAAGATTTTGGCTGCAGACAGAAATACCCGAAAAATATCCAGGGCTGTGGGATATTGCGAGAAAACTTTTGATGGCGTTTCCCTCGTCATACCTTGTCGAAAAAAGTTTTAGTGTCGTTATAAACATATTAACAAAAAAAAGGACCACATAAAACATTACAGAACGGGGAGATTTACGGTTAATCCTTACAAAACTGAAGCAAAATATTGATAATTTGCTATCAAGTACATCCCTCCCATTAAAATGATGGGTATTTTTATTATTGATTTGCATTGTTGAAGTTACGTAACGTTATTAGTGTTTCATTTTAATTCGATTAAGTAAACATCATCTGTATTCATCAAGAGTCTAGTTTTGCTTGATTTTTTTTTTAAATATGCACACTACTGAAGTAGAGACAGTTCAAGCTGTAGCCTTACCACAACAAGACTTCAGTCAACGTGTGGCGCAAAAATTTAATTTGAGCTGATCTGCTGTTAGAAGAGTTAACCAAAGATTTTAAAAAACCAGGGATTATAAAAGAAGACAAGGAACTGGAAGACAGAGGGTCACCACCGAGAGAAATGATCGCTTTATCGTAGCCTTAGCTCTACGGAATTGGCACCTTTCTGGAGTTAACCTGCAAGGCTGCACGCTTACGAAAAGTGCGGAATGTGGCTATAAGTAATAAGACAGTAAATAGGAGGCTTCGTAAATAAAATTTAAGACCACACTAGCCAGCAACGGCATCAAAACTAAACGCAGCTCATCAGCAAGCAAGACTCCAATTTGCAAGAAATCATGTAGACTGATACCTCTCATCACATGATACCTCTTGCGGGTTATATCGGAGAAAATTTCAACTAATACACGATAACGCATGGCCACACAGCGTGAATTGTAACCCGACCTAGAAAAAAAAGATCGACACACAAATTATGCAATGACCTGCAAAAAGTCCAAATCTCAACCCCATAGAACACATTTAGGACACCCTAAAACAAAAGGTAAAGCACAAGATCCCATCCCATTACCTGACAAGACCTGAAAACCGCCATCAGAGAAGAACAGGAGTGGATATCTCAAGGACCCGTTGCAGTTTTAATAACATATTTATTTAAAAAAATATCATTCACAATTATTATGTTTTTTCAAATTGTAAAAACTCAAATTTATGTAAAAATACATTTATGTAAAAATAAATAAATTTATGTAATAACAAAACTGAATATTGTTTAATATAATTAAAACTAGTTTTTGCCTGGTTTCTATATATCAACATAAGGCTATAAAGCATTTGATATTCTTATTTATGTTTCAAGGGACTCCGTGCACTTAAGCAAAGACCTGACCTAGTAAGCATCTTTCGTACTATATCATTTGTAGTTGTGGTGAAAAGAATGCTTTAGTATAACACTTCTATAAACTTCAAAATCATTGCTTATAAATAGCAATGATTTTGAAGTTTATACAATGAGGAACTATTTAAAAAGAAAAACGAAAGCACTACAAAACACTTCCACTAGATGGCGACTCTAGCAAAAGTTGATTTTTGCAGGAAACAAATGGACTAATGAGTCATTTCCGTTCCTTTTAACTAACATATAAAAAAACTGAAATTTAAAAAGTTCGAAACTTAGATATCAATACAAATACGAAAAAGTACAAATAGAATATGAGTCGTTTATTGATTTTTGAAAACTAATGTACTTTTATACATGAAAGAAAACCGGAAGAGTTGTCATGGAGAAATCAAGAACGTACGAAGTAAGAACATAGCGACATCTAGTTTGGTTTCGGGAACTAATGTTTTTTTTGCGGTGCCCACCAATATGTGAATTTTGCAACCTTGCTGAACAAACTCTTGATCATTTAATTTTCAGATGTCGTTATTTTAGTCTTCAGCGTATAATTCTTACAGATCTTCTTCAATGTATATATAATAATAGTGTATATATAACAGTGTATATATAAAAATGATGTAAAAAAACTTTTAAAAAAACTTGGCTGCGGCCTTTTGACCTGTGACAAAACAAATTTCTATAAAAAAAGACGGCTATGGCCGTTGAATTTGATAGATTAAGGACAAGGATAAATTACAAGGCTGTATGGGCTTAATACCCTTTGTCTTCCCCACTCTCCTATGGGAATAGAAATTGGACCAAAAAAAAATGTCTATGATAAAAATGGCAGGTGATGAAAGTGACAGGTTTGTAAATATTGCTGATTATTCAGGAATTCTGTTAAGTTTTAATTAAAATACATTTTCTTATAGTTCTTTATCTATTATTTGCAACGCAATACTTTTAACCATTAATTTCCACGACAATACTTTTTGTTTAACAGTGACCTGAAACCATCAAGTGTCGCGATCATTAGAGAAGTTTACGATAGTGAAAATGCCCACATTAAATTTGAAATGGAATTGGAAAGAGCACTTGAGGCCGGCGTGAGTGTAATTGTAATAGAGCCTGAACCACTAGGAGAAGAAACGGCCAGATGGATATATGTTGGAAATCTCTTACATGAAGTTTCTGTTTACAGTGGACTCTGCAGCATTGCGTCAGGTAACGAATATAACATTATTGACATAATTAAAACAAATACTTGGCATCTTTTCCACAGATGCTTTCCGTAGTCTAATAATCTATACACACAATCCACATATATAAAACTATAATATCATATTGATTACATCATTCCACCACCAATAAAACTAATATATTTGAAATATCTTTTTGGAAAAGTAAACCTTTTTTAACAGGTTTAACATTATTTAGCTATATCCTTACTTGTTAGTTGGATAGATGAGGATTGAGAAACAGCAAATACCTTGAAGGTCCAACAAATACCTTTGACAAATTTGTTTGTAAACTTAAAAGCTTTAGTAAAAACATTTTATAATAATAAAATTAATTACATATGATATTTAAATGATTCAAAATAAGTTAATGTTAAAAAATAACTCTTCTGAATTGGATTAGTAACATTTGTGTGTTTACCTTTCCTTACATAATGACTAAACTAAAAGATTTCTAAACAAATGAAACTAATTATAGCAATTCATTAATACTATTTCAGGCTTAGCATGGAGATCATTAGCATGTACACCATTTGGAATAATATCAGTTTTATGTTCGGGTTGCTACACTCTCTCATGGCAATGGGATCCATGTTGCAAGTATCAAGAGGAAAAGGATCGTAGACATTTAGCCACATTACCTGTTCTAAGTGATGTTACATCAGGAACACCAGTAGTACTTGTCCATAAAGATAATAGAAGAAAAATATTATTGCATAGTACAGTATCTTTAGCTGCAGCAGCTGTATGCTTATGGAGACTATATCAGACATTCAAATAAATGAATCTGGCACCTAACATTTAATGTAATGCTTTAACATTAGGTTACAAATGTTCTCAAATTGTGAATGGTTAAAGACTATTACTAACCTCTTAGTGCTTACTAATGTTGTTTTTGTAGATATAAAGTCTACTGTAATTAGTTGTTGTAGTCACTGTAAAAATTGTTATACATATATTTTATTATTGATAGTAGAACTAGTTAAATAAATTCTGTACAAACAATATTTTCTTTATATGGTAAGGAGCTTTTTAGTTACATGTGATAGCAGTTAAAAGATTCTGTTATACAATAATGGTAATTGTGTTCTAGAGATCACTGTTATCATATATTCATTAAAATAAAAATATTTTCAAAAGGATGTATATGTTTATTTTTTTTATTAAAATAAATTTACATCTCAAACAATAAATTAGTAACATTGAAATTTTTTAAGAAAAAATCCTTAACTGTTCCATCTGATAATAATATTATAATGCAAAATATCCCACATGTCAAAACCAAAAGTAGTAAACTTATGATTAAATCAAAATTGTTTTAAAATTTAACTCTTAATCTTATACAGAGCTTGTGACAATAATGCGTAAGAGTAATTTAACGGTGGATACTTCAGTTTGACGAAGTACTATCGCCAGTATGTTAACTTGTAATAATTTAGTGCATAGATTATGCATTTTCAAGCATTATCACTCTTTTTTTTTCAGATTTTTGCAACAACTTCTATGATTGATTCAAGTCGTCGTGTTCCACGAATTGTGCGTCTAAATATATTTAATTCTATATTCGTTCATAATAACTTTTTTATTAAGTTTTCATACATGTCACCATTATACTTACTTTCGTTCGAGCACCTGGGGTGCTACCGCCGAATTCTGGTCATAGGATAGGTGCATCTTAGCGAGACTTTAATTTCATTCTACTACTTTGACATGTAGGTAATAACGAACAAACTGAAGATGATTATGGATTTGACAGAAGTTAACTAACTCCAAAAAATACACCGAAGTAGTATATAAAATGAGGCGAAATATCGCACTAACATCGCTTAGATGTATTCTATGGCTAAAGATTTCGGTGGTCGCACCCCTATCCTTCGTCCTGGGAACCGCCGATCTCTTGCATTTATGTCACAAACTCTTGCACTACTGAAAACTAATACTAAAACTGCTAAAAACTGGGAAACTAACAGCCGGTTTCTGAATTGAGAAGAGTACAAAATCTCAACTAAGTACTTAATTACTCTCAATAAATTAAGTTACTATTAAAAAACTGGATGCATCAGGCTCGTCGCTCGTCAAGCGGCGGGATATACCGAAAATATTTTCCCAGCAATTAAAGAGGGCGACCTAAATTACTAAAATTAAGTAATAGACTTACTGAGTGCCTATATTTTTTTGTATTCATTTGGAACAGTATTTTCAATACACCATGTTGACTCGATACCATTTATAAAACATTAAAATTATAAGTTTATCACAGGATTGCTAGAATGTACCTTATTTTTCCCAATATTTATAAAACGTACTGTAATTGATTTGAATTATCCTATAGATATTTTCAGTAGATCAGCTTTTCCCAGTCATGAGATGATAATACAAATATGTATTTTATTTCCAATAATATTTAATAACCATCAGTATGTATAATTTATAAATGACAAGTTAAATTTTGATGCTTAAAAATTATAATCGCAAAGTAACGATTGTAAGCTTTTTTTTAATAAATAAATATACATTTTATGATTGTTTTGAAAACAAAAAAAAATTGCTGGTCGCTCTTCTACTTAAAATATATTTATTCGTGATACTAATGGGACTTTCATCATTAAATATAACTTGTCTCTGCTGGGCGCTTCCACTAATGATACCAACTTGAACCAGCGTAGTCATAGGACAAGCGCTGTCATCCAAGTGCAGAACGACACAACAAAAATAGCTTGACTTATGCGTGGCTCGTAAGTTGAACCGCAACGGCGATTATTCGCTCAGGTACAATCGTAAACTATACCGCGTTGCTATGGTTACGTACTGCGTCTCAACCCCGCACCTAGATTGAGACCCGAAAATATGCAACTGCGCATATTTCAACTTTTGTGCCACGCACGATGTAGTGATGTAGCGAGGTGACATTTTTAAAAAAGAAGTAATATTCCAGATTATCAATATTATAAAACTATCGGAATACATTATTATTATTTAAATAAGTATATATCAATTGAAGTATTCTTATTACTATTCATATAAAAACCTATTTCCACTACCAGGAAAGTCAAATCAAAATATTTTGTTATTAATTAGTCTTCATAGATCTTCGTTCCATAATCCAGAAATAAATTGTTGGTGCAAAATGTCGCAAGAAAACTGCAAGGTTCGGGAAGAATTGACTAACTACTAATTCGTTCTCCTTGTTGACTATTGAGTCCACCATTCTCTGGGCGAGGTATTCTGGGGTAAAGCCAGCTGCAGTACTCTTATCCATTACTAAAAAAATATTTAAATCAATAATTACAATGATTTTAATTATACAGATAAAAAAGAAATTTAAAATAAAGTTTGGTAAACGAGGGCGGAACGGAAATATCTTATATAAAAAATCTTTCTTGTTCAAATGCACAATCTAGTCAATGCGTAATAAACTAGTAATTTATACATACATATCAATTAAAATAAATTTCACACTTCTTACCTCCATGAGCACTACCAGATTCGCTGAGAGCATTCAATGAAACTGCAGTTTTTATGTATCCTGGACTGACAACTGTCACATTGATGTTGTGTTGCTTCATTTCAGAACGTAAGCTGTCGCTAAATGCTTGCATAGCATGTTTAGAGGCAGCATATGCGGCGCGATCTGGTATAGCAATAAGACCCTGTATTGAACTCACCATAACAATATGCCCGCTCTTCTTTTCAACCATTCTAGGCAATACAGCTGAAACAAAAATGATGATAAAGTGATAAAATTAGTATTAAAAATAATCCTAGTCACGTCATATAAATCGTCTATGTCTTATTCGAGGTTATTATACATTCTTGAATCGTGTGAAATAATGTGGATCCAAGTTTTATGGAGTAGTTCATACTACTGTCCCAGTTTATCATCGGTGGTCAATCTTTGCAGCGCTTTTACTTGTTGACTGTTGGTCATTGGAACATTATAGCATCTGATTGATTTTATTTTTCATATTTTCAACTTCATAAGCAACATACTCAGAAACCTATTTTTTACCCGACTGCGCGACGCAAAGGAGGGTAATGTGTTTATCGGTCTATGTATGTATGTATGTATGTTTGTTTCTATGTGGCGTTCTAGAGACCAAATGCGTAGGACGATTTTGATGACTCTTACGTCAATCAATTCGTCCTAACCTTGCGAATGTCACTAAAGACATGACAGTGATCAAAATTCACCACAGCGACAACCAGACGCCATATTGTCAAAATGAAAAAAATAAAAATCGATGAACTATGTCAAGTGGGGTGTCGTTTGATGGGTATTTTAAAATCATCTTTAGGTTCCTTTTATCATTTTAAATAATAGTTTAGGATATATAACGATTTAAAGTTTTTTAACAAAACATTCTCGCTAATTTTCTTACGTATTGATTAAAGTTTTTATTTAAAGTATAAACGATATACAAACAAACAAAAAAACAGTGAAAAAGCATGAAGAACAAATATTTATGGTAAAAAAAAAATAAAGCTTTGAGCCGAGTTAGGTGTCTAGAGGGACTAATCATCAGTAGTTTAGACCACCGCAAGTTACTTAATAATCCCCACGATATTAACTCCCTCAATGAAATAACTTGATTGCGAAATTTACTATCTTATAACGAAGTCAACGAATCGTAACTAAAAAGTATCAAATAAAAATAAATAATTTAAAGAAACACAAAAATCCCGACTGCGTAAAAACGAATTTAAAAAATACATGAAAGAATTAATTTTAATTCTGTTAAGTAATAAAGAACAGAATTTTTATTACTTAACAGAATTCTAAACTACTGGGCTTGTTTCTTTCTTTTTAGTTTTTATTTAAGTTAATTCTTTCATGTATTTTTTAAATTCGTTTTTACGCTGTCGGGATTTTTGTTTTTTATTATATCTGTAAAACCAATACCTTTTGTCAATGCAACAGTTCCAAAATAATTGATGTACATTATTTGTTTAAACACCTCCATTTTCGAGTGCAATATTGAACCACGATGAGACACTCCACCATTGTTTATCAAAATATCAATATTCCCGCAGACTTCATGAACATTTTCTACAAATTTTGTTATTGTGTCTAGCTCTGCAAGATCTAAAACCAAAATGACTGGCTCTTGTGTTTTAATAGACTGAAATCAAAAACACGCATTATAAGTTAGTCTTATTGTTTTCTCTTGGACTTATAATTCAAATGATCAAATCTAATTGAATAAACAACGAAAGCCCATAACATTTTTTATTGCGTTGTTGCGTTGTAATATAATAATAAAGCAAGCAATCCGATTCGAATGTCTGCCGAGCTTTTTTGATGTAATGAACTTGGAACATATAATGCCTTATATCCTTGGAAGTAATCATTAAATGAATTATTTATAATTTTTCTTTCTTTCACCCAGAAAAAAATGTGAAAAATTTGTTGTTTCATATGTTTTCTTTGTAAATGTAGGACAAATTCACTCAAAAGTTACATGATCTTCGGATAAATTACCGCTCAAACCATTATTTGTAATATCTAAGATTCAAAGTAAGTTGAACCACAATGGCCAATTTTCGCGCAAGTTCTGATCTCCTGTATACTGCATTACTATGGTTAGGTGCTACGTCTCTAAACCTCTCACTTCGATTGAGACCCGAAACATTTCTCCTGCGCAGTCTCTATTTCGGTTCAATTAACATTACACGCATCATAAATCACAAACAAAAATTGATAATCACTGAATTTACTGTTAAAAATAACAAACAAATAGTAACGTAATAAAAAGGGATAGTAGATATATAACCGAGATCAGTACCAAGTTAAGTACATGTAACTAAAGTCCTTGTGGTTATGCAAATCGACACTTGTTACAATGATAAATGTCATATTTTAACAGTAATATAAGTTAAATATTCAGTATTGTTTAGTAAATAACTAAACAATACTGAATATTTAATTTAAACGTGCCCCTATTCACAACAACAACCCAAAGAAACTTATGAATCTAATAACTGTTAACTTTTACTCAAGCGGGGCGATTTTAAGTCATGATACAATCACTACGTCTGTTTAATTTTTATTAACTATATTTTACTGTAGTTTCATTTTATTGCTGTTGCTAAACCTATTTGCCGAGCTTCAAAAAACCCACTTTGTCCATGGCAGTCTGAGATGGGACTCGAACCCATGACCTTTCGAAATCCGGGCGACTGTTCTAACCACTGCGCTACTACAGAGCGTACTTTCATCAATGTAAAGGCAATCCAAACTATTTCTTGAAATTTTTTTTGGCCGTTTCTTTCGGTGGTTTTTCATTAAGAATATTTTTCAGTATAGCATTGTGACTGACTGCAAAATTGATCAAATATTATGTCTACACATAAATGGGAAAGTTTAAATGAGCAAATTTCTCACCACTTTATGCCAAAGTTTAGAACAAATACGGTTTTCTTGTATCTAGGTCATAAAAGATTACAATTCTTTATGATTATTTGATATTTACTTATCAAGAGTTAAATTCATAATAGTTTGCGTAATATCTTCTTTATTAATTTACTGTGTCTCTAATTTGAGCATTACCATAAGAAAAATAAAACTCTGCGCTTCATTTTGGGTGATGTATAGCGGGAACATAACTCCTGCCCTCTAATCATGCAGTAGGGATAGTGCGGAAAGCATTCTCCCAGGGTGAAAATAAAAAAGATATGTCTAAAGATAATTCATTTAATGTCAATCTCAGATCATATCAAGTAGAATTATGTAATAATGTAGTTTTTAATTTTTAATGTGGGAGTACGCCGTTAGCGTTAACTGAATTATATAGTATTTTATTTTATTATTATAACGAGACAAATATTTATTATTATTCTCAAACCATTTTAAAGAAAAAAAAAACTGTCCAAGTTCGAGTCGGACGCACGTACGAAGGGTTTCGGACCATTATCAATAAAAAAAAAGAATAAAAATCACGTTTGTTATCTCAAAAATTTTGAGATAATTTACTTGTAAAGCTAACTTAAGTGTTTCCTTTTAACTTCGTTAAATATACAGTACCGGTTCGGTAAATATTAGCCACGTAGCAAAAATAGCAAATGCTACGGGCCCCGCTCTTGGGGATGCAACGATATATCGGAATACCGATATATATCGATATCGGCGAAACAGCGATATCCAAGACCTATCCATCCGACCATGTCTTATTTTTTCTTTGAAGGAGAAAGCACAGAACATGGTAATCTCTTTTCTGTGTTCTATAGACGAACCACCAGTAGACCACAAAAGATGTTTAAAGAAAATAATAATAAACGATTGTTTTTTGTATAAAGTCCGCCTTTTGTACCATACTTTCATTGGTCAATGAAGTTGTAATAAATAACAAACCGGCTAAAATAACACTATTATTTTAAATAGTACGAATAAATGGATAATGAAGTAGCGCTAGGGTAACATCGATTACTATAATAATTATTAATAATACATCATGACCTAAGTGTATTACCATCTTTTTCGACTGCAGATCTTGTTTGACCCTTTCGAGTTCATTTAAACGACGTGCTGCTAAAACCACTTTACTTCCTTGGTCATAAAAAGCATGAGCTAATGCTTCTCCTATACCAGAACTTGCTCCAGTTATAACAACAACCTATAACAACAAATTGATGATTTAGAAATAATTTATGGGTACCTTAATGGCTTAACCTTACTTTTGCCTTATCAACAACAAAAAAACTAGATGTCTGTAATAAATTAAAATCATGCACTGTATATTACACCCAGAGTTGGGCGATATGACACTGTTCAATTAATTAATTAAGCTTGATATTACAAGCTTTTAATACTTTCTTAGAATAATACAAATTTAAAAATGTGATTTTTGGAATGTGGCGAAAGTATTGGAAGGAATAGTTTCCAAACCCACAGCAACAATTTCCATATTTTTGCAATGAATATGATTTTTTTTTAATACCTGCTCTATCATAGCCTGATGTGTGTAAATTTTAAGACGTTTTTGTTAAACTTGTTATTTTTTACCATATTATAATTGACATTGGTGCCCAGAGAGATAGAAATCTAAAATCTGGGAGTTGCTAATATTTTAAACATTATGTTAAATGAAGTATTAGGTTATAATAAACTCATAAAAATCATATTTCTTGTATAGTCAAACTTTAAATACAAATAAAACGTTAATTATCTTTTTAAAACTTTATAAAACGTTAAACTGCAGTATGATGTGTGGAATAATTTTTTTTTTTTATTTATTAATGGCTTTTCTGCGCATTTTGCACAATTCTGCCAATGTCAAGTGAATAAATTAATTTATTGCTCAAACTAACAGCCATATTTCGTTTTAGAGTTTAAAGTATACGGGTCATGTAAAAATTTATTTATTTACTTGACATTGGCAGAATTGTGCAAAATGCGCAGATAAGCCATTAATTAAAATAGAAGAAGAAGAACAGCCATATTACAGCAAACTAGCATATCAATTTGATTTGAAAAATAAATCTTTAATTGATTGAAATCAATGCAAATTTGGTACCTATGTTTAAGTAATATTCTTATATTTTTATTTGTATTTACATTAAATTATCTTTAGTAATATTAACATTTTTAAAAATATTGCTATTAATTGAAAATCTATATTTCAATGCCGAATTTAGCCAAATTCAATTCTAACATGACAAATTAAAATTGTTTTTTTTTTTTTCGAAATGTGCCCCACATGACTATTAACAATGTTGGTGACTAAATGTCATTCTGAGCTGTTATTTTGAACAATGATATAATTATTTTACTAGTGTTGTTTGCAGTCATGTGACTCACAATTTAAAAATTATATATTTTAATATTAAATATTTCAAAACAAGAAAATTATTTGAAATTCATAATTTATTGATTAATTTTTTTTTTAAATGCAGTATTGATAAAAGCCTTTGTGATTACAGTTCATATATACACTTTTTTGTCTACAGACTTCTCTGAGCAGACTACAATATTGCCTGTTTATCCAAAGAAAAGATATAATTTACTGGCCAATTTATACATCAAATATAATGTAATAAATTAGTTATACTAAAAAAGTTTATAATAAGAATACATATTGAAATTAAAAAGAAAAAACAATTTATTTTAAATATATTTTAAAACAATAGTTCTAAGATAGCTCTCCAAATCTTAAAGAGATCCTCTCCTTAAGATAAAACCAACCAACCAACCAATTAAAATTTACAAAACTTTTTTGAGAAAATACTTATTTTAGTATAACATCATTATGTAAATCAAATATGGCAATATGTAAGATGGATATAATCTAATAAAAAAATAATAAAAATACTTCAAATTATGGGGACTTACAAAATATGACTTCAAATTATGGGGACTGGTATCTTTGAAATTCAGACATTGTTTAGTCCCCTTCCTCCCAATTAGTAAAATAACAAAGTTGTACACATTTTCTGAAACTTACCTTTCCCTGCAGTGCTGAACGACGTCTTTTGGTGCATATTTGCTTAAGTAAAGAATATACAGCGACTCCAACTGTTAAAGGTATCCCAATATACTTCAGATACCAGTTTGTGTTACTGATAATTAAATCAAACTGTTTCATATTGCAAAGCCTGGAAATATGTATAAAAGTATTTTATATTACATGAAAGTAATGGACTATAGATCTTTCTAATGAAGGTGCACTAGGTAAGTTTATTCTTGTTTTTAATTATTGACGTTACTCTTGTGGATTTCGCTAGAATTCATTGTTTCGCTCTCACTACACAACATACAATAAGCAGAGACTTAGAAGTTATAAAAATTATAAAGTTGCTTTAGGTCAATCATTGACAAAACAATGGTAAAGGGTTAAGTATTCGACACAAGAATCTATTACATAATGTGTATAGGTCTAGAATAAATGCTACGTTCAAACAAACAGATAAGGTTCTCTGTCATCAACCGGCTCAAAAAAATAATAAAAAGAAATTATAATATTTACGCCTTTCAACCTGATTTTCACTATAATAAATTCAGTAGCTTTAAGTATTTGATTAAATTTTTTCTTTCACGCAAAATCCATATACATTTTAAAACAACAAGAATACTTCCTAATCCCGTTTTAAGTACGAAATATACGGCAGCAGCGCAGCAGGCTCCGATTATAACACAGATTATAACAAGAAGTGCGTGTTGTGCACAGTAGGCTTGTCAAATTAATATCGATTTTTTCAATACGGTATATCGATATTTTTGGGCGATATACAATATCAAATATCCAATATCGAAATTGTAACAAATACGATATTTTCTTTTGTTTTATTTGAACGAAAAATTAACCAAAATAGAAATAATTCAATTGTCCTTCCGTGTCCTTTTATTTGTGCCCAAATGAGATCAATGGTATTGTATTGACAGTGGTATGGGGGAATTCTTAGTACGATATGCCCATGTTGCTCTGCTGCCATTTCGTCGATAACATATCGTTTCCGCCGCTTTTTTGATTTTAATATTTCCATCAATTCTATTTTTAGTAGAGACTCGTCCACATCCTCCCCATTGTCACAAAGCCAGTTTATGATCTCGTGTTTTCTGTTGGCCAGCGTTGACATTTTATTAATTTGACGAGAGTGGTAGGATGCGTTGTCAATAAACATTATCGACGGTTCTGAGAGAGATAAAAGCATCATTTGCAACCACTTTTCACACTTCCGCATTCATCTCCTCATGATACTCCCCTGTTTTTTGGACTTAAAAGCTAACAGAGTCTGGCACAAATCCTCTTGCTGCTCCCGCATGGCAAATAATGAGGCGTTCACCTTTCCCCATTGGCACTGCGGACGTGGAGGCACTTCTTGCTAACGAATGATTCGCGCGACCTCCGTAGCCGAGTGGTTCGCACGCCGGTTTCAAGGTGTCGCCATCTCTAAGGTCCCGAGTTCGATTCCCGGTCGGGTCAATGTAGAAAATGAACTTTTCTATATTGACTCGGGTCTGGGTGTTGTGGTACCTTTGTTGTCTCAGATACTCCATAATATTTTAGCTTTAGCTACTCATCTTGGAATCTGAGCAATGTTGTTAAATATTTATTTTATTTATTTATTTATTGAGCCAAGTTTCGTCTGTAAATACAACATTTGACCAATCTTCTATTTACTTTGCTTCTCTTAAAAAATCGCATCGAGCCAAAGCAATTTCACGGCGTTCCATCAATTTTTTTCTTTTATTACATTTTTTAAAACGAAAACCAATTCGATTCGTCAATGAAGATTTTTGACCGTGGAACAAACCACTATCCCGTAGAGATTGCACCAGTTTTTTTTAAGTTGGTATCTCTTTTCGTACATAATTGTATACATGACGACGAATAGCATCAGCGTCAAAACTGTCAGCTGCTGTCACTTTAAAAGGTTGGCGTTTTTTCTTTGGTGTAGAAAGTTTGTTCTATGCCATGCCACAACTGCCGTAGCCTTCTTTAGTTATTTTTGTCACTGTTGTAACGCAAATACCTAAAGCTGCTGCAACACGGTCTTTGACATGCGTTACTGGTATAAGAAGCCCACTATTATGACTTTCTTTTTCAAAATAGTCACGAAGCCGCAACACAAACTCTCTCGATTGTCCTTTAAGCCTTTACCTTTCGGCATCTTGCAAGTATAAAGCTTGCAGAGAACCTAAGTATCCACAATTTAATACTAGATTAAAGAAGCCAGTGCGACAAAACGCCAATTTAATAAGTATAATCAGACAGTGTGTACATAAATGCAATTAATAACAATAACCTAATCTTCATCTGTTTCCATTTCCGAACTTGTGATATTTTTCATTAATTTCCTTATGTATTTTTTTTATAATTACTTCCTTTTTCATTATGAATCTTCCATTGGCCTTCGACTATTTTTAGATATACTATATTTCTTCGTAGTTCCTGTCCAGTCTCATCATTCCTTACATTAATGTCTCCACCTTTAGCATTAATTACAGTATGTGGCACAGGACATGGTGAAATTTAATGTCTCTTTGTTTTCTTTAATGATATTCTTAATGTAAACTTTTTCTCCTATACTAATGTGACTACTCTTTGCTTTTCGTTTCCGATCTTCAGTTCTCTTTCCCTTTTCTTTCGTCATTTTCTTTGTCGCATACCACTCCATCATGACACGCTGCTTCGGCACGACTTTTGAAATACGCTGATACAGTAGGCCACGATAACATTAATCGATCAACAGCTTTGCCAAAACTTAGCCATCTAGTTAGCCCCTGTCTCAAAACTTTCTTATATTCTATTTCGAATTCTCCAAAAAAATTTTTTTCTTCAGTGCGTTTTGCGCTGTTCGAAAATTCAGCATAAACTTTCAAAACCAATTTTTCTACATTATATGTTAATGCTTTAATGGCATTTCTGGCAGCATTGTGAATAATATGACAATTGCAATTTGCTTTTACGACTTTGGTATCAGGATTTCTATCGACAATTTTTTGGTACACCGAATTACGAACACAATAATTCACCGATTTCTGCAGTGAATGCAGACAACAAATTTGCATCTAAGTCGTGTTTTTTCATAAAACTTACAATGTTGCCAAAAATTTTTTCTGATGTTTCATTTGAATCCTCAAAAAAGCCCATTAATTTGTCTTCAATGCCTCTTTGCTAGTTAAAATATCGAATGACTACTGGAAACATTTTTGGGAACCCTTATTTGAAGCGTCAATAGCAATCGAAAAAGGTATACCTTTCTTTGAATGAGGTGCTAAACGTTCAACACAATCGCCTCAGCTTTAGTTCTGCCACAATTAACTTTTTGAAATATTGGGGCATCTGAGTACATAGAAGCGTTTAGTTTAGGTTAATCAATTTACCGTATTCGGTGCTTAAGTAACTATGGTGATGACTAATGGCGTGGTAAATCGACGTAGTGTCTATTATCGCAACCTTTAGTTCTTCAGAAGTTTTTTTTGGCATATATGATGTAATTAATGAATTTGTATTCAAATTTCTCTCTTTTCTCTTGTGTACTTCACTATGAAGGTGTGTTTTTAAAGCTTTTTCACCGTCCCATTTCACTGTAAAATTCACATTACAGATAACACATTTACCATTTTTGTCATCAACTTTTATCACCCACTTTCATCTTCTAGCCACGATTGTTGAAACTTAGATTCACACTTCTTATTTTTCTTCGCTTGTGACTCACCCTCCATAATGAGAACTGCTACTATTAAATAGTTTTATAACAAAAGCATCCCAAATTTAAGAAAAAAAAGGAATATTTATTTAACATCGCAATAGGGTTTTGACACTTTTCTGAAAACTATTTTAAATCATTGTTTGCTACATTATAAACACACTGTCATAATATTTCATTGGAATCTTTTCTATTTTTGGTGAAAATTATTATTAAAATTTAAATAGCCAAAAGCGCGCGAAAAACGCTGCTCTATGTAATGGCGCTGATCGTGACGTCACAGGCCAGTAAATATGTCAAATCGATAAGTATCGATAAGTGTCTTTAGAGCAAATTGAAATAATAATTGAGAAGAGAAATTGAAGTCGTAGTGCGTATTTTTTATGTTTTTTATTTTCCTCTGCTCTAGTTTTCTTTAAAAAATGAGCTACAAGTGGTGCGTAGTGCCACAACGTACTAATAATTCTATAAATAACAAACAAACTTCGAGTCTAGAAGAAAATAGATTCACAATCACAATAGTAGAATAGCTATATAGAGTGGAGATGGGTGATAAAATAAGGTGAGGATTCCTAAAAGTATTGAAACTTTTTTATTTCATATCGATACATTTGAAGGTTTTCTATTTGGTTTTTTTCTTTGTCATCAACATTTTACGATTCATTTATATTTGTTGACAGGGCCCGCACTTTACAGCCTGTCGACCTACAGATGGATGAGACATTAGTACGAAAAAGAATGTTCTATTTTTTTTATTCATGCATGTATGTCTATCCACTAAATGCATGGCATTTGATAATTAGATATCAGATCCCGATGATTTTTTAAATTAGTTTTTAACTTGGAGAACAGTATATATCATCAAAATCGACTTTGTAATTTTGAATTATTATATTAAAGTCCAAAATTAGAAAAACATGAAAGTTGCTCTTTTTTTAAATTGCTGGCGTTTTACTTATTTCTTGGATTTTTTAAAAAGCTTAGTTAATGATTCTTTATTTCTGTATTTCTTTTTGGCAGTTCTTATTAGTAGAAGCGGCAAAGTATTCTGTTATCAGTAAATTACTATTAAGTACTCGATACCAACAGGCATCGATATTTTATGTATCTTTCTAACACTACTTCGACATGACAGCTGATGACGTCACATGCCAGTAAACAGAATCGTGATTGGTTGGGACGACAAAAATTTTATAGGACGTTTTCGTCGTTGAATAAATTCCTAAAAATATTGCATTTTCTTTACGTTATTTTACTAAATCTAAACATTTTTTTTCTGCAACTGTTAAGAAATAAGCTTTATTAGTATTGGTGAACCCCAATACTGGGCCGCCAATGTTTCAAATATATTTAAAGTGGATACTATGCATATGCAAACACGTTAAATAAAGATTTTAAAGAATTTTATTTATAGTTTGCAAGAAAATCAAAACAGAAGTAAGAAAACAATAGGCATGGACAGCTAATCACAAAAATAAACATTGTGTCAAATAAATCAGAAGAGTAAAATTGTTCTAAAAAAGTATTTTATACATGAGTAAAAACTCCTTGCTCTAACACTCCTCCTCAATTTTATCTCTTCTATTCCATACCTATTCATACAACACTCATATCATACCCATACAACATTCATACAACACCCATACTTGACGTACACCACTCAAACTTACCTTTCAACAAAGGTTTAGTCAAAGAGTCAGTAACCATGCGTTCAGTTTGTACATATTCTAACTCAATATGCCCATGCTCAACTGCTTCCCTTATAAAGTGATGACGTATTGCAATGTGTTTTGTACGCTGATGATGCACAGGATTGTGCGCGATTGCAATGGCTGATTGACTGTCACTGAATATCTTAATTGGCATCTCCTCCTTACCAATTATTTCAGCCACAAATCTTTTTGTAAAAATTGCCTCTCTAGCGGCTTCAGACATTGCAATGTATATTTATAATTTATTTTACAAGTCGTGCTTTATATCTG